GGCATCGCGCGGGATTACCCATCATGCACTCGATATTATGATATTTAGATATTTCAACAATTCTCATAATTTTTGCAAAAGGCTGTACCCTTAAATCATCTGCTGTTTATATATATAAAAAAGGAAGAAACTAAATTTAAAAATGAACATTCATGTCGTAAAAGTAGTATTAGTATTTAAGTTGAATGTTTTTGCTACATGTTGTGACATGGATCTCTGAAATTTGAAAAAGTGCAAAATTTGAAAACATTTTCTAAGCAAAAAAATTCAGATCCTTTTGAATGAAGACTTTTGCAAGTTTGTTTCATCTATGTTATTTAATGCAATTAAAATGGCACAAAATGATGTGTCAATTAATGTACAAACACAATGCAAAGAGTCTTATACATGTAGATCAGACTTAGAAATGTTGAGAAATAATTTGACTTTATTATACAACTTGGGCATCCTAGGGAGTATGTATTCCCTGGATGCCCAAGTTGTATTACATACATCTTGATGTTAATTATGCATCTTTGTGAAATTTTACATCTGACATTTTAAGCAACTGCGAGCAATATTGGAAAAATGATCCTGGGTCAAAAAGCACTTCATCATTCTGTAACTGACCTGACAACCATGTTTGAAGGTGCCATCATAATCATGCAATTGGAGTGCAAAATCATGTCCAAATCTGAGAAAAGTTAAATCAGAAAAAAAAAACATGATGTAGCTACAAAATTTTATGGTATGACAATTTTTAGAAAATACATGTTTAAAACTTAATAGAAATTTCACAAACATAACTTAACAAATTATGTTCACTTAACCTAGACACCCAAGTCAAAATAAACTTAAACTAGCTCCTACATATTTTTTTGTAAGCTTATATATGAAAATATTTGCAAGTTCGAGGAAGACTAACCTAAAGAACCTAAATCTTTTGTCATATAACTTAAGAGCTTAAGTAATTTAAGTTAAGAAGTTAAGTTAAGCTTATATAAGCTTAGCTAGTGCTTACCTGTGCGATTCAGCTACAGCTATTATTTACCATCGAATTTCAGTTGAATTCACTCTTTGTACACTCCATTGGTAAATCCTAATACGCTTAACATGATAATATCCATTTAAGTAGACGAGAACGACCAGCAATTTACTGTGCTTCTTTCATAATCCAGCCGCCATTTTGTTTTTACCCTTTTCTACTCGCCAAACTCCCCCGGACTGGATGCAATGAGCCCGCTGACCAGAATGTTCACACACTTCCCCAGGTACCCGTGGACGGGTAGTTTTTTTCATTTGAATGATTGCGCTTTCCTGATTTCAGAAGACGGGAATCGCGATGTCGAACGTCGATGATTGAAGTACAGAAATTACGATCGAAAAATTCGGAGAGCTATCGATTTCGTTTTGTATCTAAACGATACTTCAAAATAAGAAAACAGCAAATTTTGAATCGAAGTTTCTGATTTTAGAAACCCGAAAACGAAACATGCGAAAGATCATGGCGAGTGTCAAATTGAGTAATTTGAAAATAGAGATGGAAATTTTGATGAAAATGGTAGTTTTCTGATTCTTTAAACGGAGATTCTGAAAAAGGTGCTATGTTTTTTGAAATTTGACATTTCTGAAAATCAGAAATCAGCTTGGCCGCGAAAAGTCCTGATTGATAAAACCAAAAAAAAATATGGCAAGACTTTCTAAAAGCATTTGATTTGTGTTTTTTATACACTCATGAACGAAGGAAAGTTATACGCCATTTTGAATTTTACCTGCTTCTCTTGCAATTTTACTAGTCAGAATCTAATCCAAYCAGTTTTGGGCTTCCTGTTTTAAGATAAACTGGGAATGAGTTTATTTTGATGAAATTGAAAATGGCGGACGATGAATCAGAAAATAATATGATTGTTTTATATGTTGATGCTAGAAATCATCTATGAATATTCTTTTGCTCTCTCAACTTTTGCATACAAGAAAGAAATGAGTGAGAGTGGACTCGCGAACCGGACTCAAGTCGGTAAGGTTAAATAACAATAGCAATCTAGCTATCTAGTTAAGTCTTACATAAGTTATCCTTTATTTATTTTGATTTTTTTGCCGACCAAAGCGTTATAAAATTATCCTCAATTGTCAGGTTAATAAGCTCATAACTTAGCTTAACTCAAAGTAAGTTGATCTCTGGGAAACGTACGTTTAATAAGTATACTTAGTAAAAGATAACAAAAAGTCAAACAAAAACAAAACAAAAATAAATAACAATTATGCTTATGCTTATTGTACATTTAAGTTAAGCTTACAATCGGTTTGCATTCATTGTATCAACATCTTACCTGGACAAGCTTATAATAAGTTTACCTTCAAATTATAATCCTTGATAAATAAATCCTTATTTAATTATGCCAGTAATTATATCCTAATATAAAAATCTAGCAAAATCTCAAAGATGATTCCAACAAATACAGTATTAAGAATTGCAATCAACAACAAGTACATATGGHAAACAAAAAGAGATTTCTTTTGCAGTGCAAAGAACCCTTGCAATGTGATTTCACATTTGTTTACTAAACTTTTTGTTCAACTTAGAATACTGGAAATTGAGAAGGTGGGAAGCGGACATCTGCAGAACTCCCTTCGTCCAAGAGTAGACAAAAGTTTCTGCAGATTGTCACTTTGCATAACTAGTACATTAGTAAAAATGTCATTAAGTAGTCTTACCATGTTCATAAGAGTGATTTTTAACTTCTACAGTAAAAGTAGCTTTTAAGGCGGCTTTTGGACCTGGAGTAGGCATATATACAGAGTTATGGTGTTCACACGGTGTTTATATTAGTAGCATTTATTACTTTTATTTAATTGTTGTTATGTTGGTCAAGTACAATCCCATATTCAGTAAAAAAATTCTCAAAATTTGCATGGATTTTTTTTAATTTTAAGCATTTAATAAATTTTCTATTTTTTTTTCAATAGAACAAAAACTAAAACTGGGAGTAAATGTGTCAACTGAGAGACAGACTACCAAGCTTTCATTTTCCTCATTTTAGCCGTCAACCGTCAAATGTAGARTCCCCCCATCTTTTAACAGTAAAGGCAACAAGTTTTGCAGCTTAGCCATATCCATCCATGATACAGCCTCCCTTCTTATATTTATAAAAGTTTATCACACAAAGTGTGCACGTAAAAAAAAAATTGGCACTTAAAAAACTCATGCATAATTAATGAGCTACTAGGACAATAGAATGAGCCTATTTGGTCACAKGCATGGACCTTTATATCTGATAAAACACTCCTTATTAGTATTCTTTATATAAAGAATACTAATAAGGGTGACCTTTATCAGATATAAAGGTCCATTACCCTAGCAAAGGTCTCAGGTTTGAAACCTGATCATTGACCAATGCAGGATGTCAACCGATTTCAGTGATCGAACAGCCAAGAGCGCTTCTATTTTACTTTATGCGTATTCAATGTGGGATGACAAGAGTGCTTTGTAAAGTGATTCGCGCATGATCAGTTTGCCCCATTTATCTCTGAACATATTTGTACGGCAATTTCTCCAAGAATTTTAACGGATTTGAGTTTCAAATTAGTGTTGGAGTTTTTTAAGCCGTTTAAAACACTCGAGATCGTGTTTTATCAGGTATAAAGATTCTCGCCTTCGGCTCGAATCTTTATACCTGATAAAACACTCTCTCTCGTGTTTTAAACTATACT